ACTTGCAGTCAAGTGAAGTAATGCAACAGAACACAACGTGGTTTCTGTCAGCATCAGCCACTCCAACTTCATCTTCACACTGCACAACTGTCTTGCACAAACGTATTTATATTGGCCTCCGTGTACAACATCCCACTCAAAGTCTGCCCTGTGGCATCTGCACCAACACGCACCAGGGCTATAAAGGAGCCAGCTCCCAGACCTGTGGGATTTGCCTTCAGTCCTCACTCAGCATTTCCACAGACACCAAAAGCAGCACTGGTGGCAATGACAGCGAGGAAAGCTGTTCCAGCAGCGGGGTAAGCGTGGGTGCAGTGGGCGGCAGCAGCAGGGTTGGGCTCAGGATGCTCTGAAGCAGCTCCCTGGTGAATCTGCTCTTTCCTCTTTATAGTTTTTGGGATCTTTTTGTATAAAATTTAACTTCTCAGGTCAAAAGAAGCCTCTGTGAAATGCTCAGTCAAACACACAGTTGGCCAAGTCTCACCTGGATGCTGGCCAGTGGTTATGTGTTTTCTTGCTGAAGAGAACTATGCTGACATCCAGCCACATGGAGCCACTGTACAAAAGATCTGTTCTACTAAAAATCCCAGATGTGTTTAACTGGGGGGAAAAAAAAAAAAGAAAAAACGACCATAAAAATCTTAATCACTGAAAAAGAGGATGGGAGAATCCTGCGGGGTTTGTGGTTTCACAGGCCTCGCAAGCTATTTCTGGGAAGCACAAACCCCATTTGATTTTATGAATCAAATGCCCCTTAAAATTACAGCCCTCTCCTCTCCTCTTTGCCTCCTCTCCTCATTCTGAGTGGCTAAATAAAGAGCAAACAATGCCATATTTGCATGCATACACAGAGGGCCTTGGAAAGAGTCAGAGGGCAGCCCTGGCACCAGATGCACTGTCTCTGCCATGCAGCACAGACTGCACATCCCACAGCAGTAATGCTGATGGAATAGGCATTTTTGGCCTTCAACACCTAAAACGCCACGTCTTGTGAACTTACAGAACACTTCTAAGAGGTGCTGTGCTTTTCTTCGTGTGGCTCCACTGCACAGAGGCCAAAAGCCCGTCCTGCCAGGGCTACGTCACCTGCAGGTTAGGATCTTTCACAACGTGCTCACAAAACAACAGAGTTTGTACTTTTTTTGCACAACTTCAACACAGAGTTGACATTTTCCTTGACTCTTCCCACTGAACTAAATGCCATTGGGTTTTATCTAGTCCATTTTTAGACTGGATTACAAAAAAAGGCATTTCTGTTTTCTCTCCCAGTACAGCAGCTCCTGAGCAGAGTACAAGTGAGTTCCCCCTGCTCAACCCCCAACAATTCACACCCAGGATTCTTCCTGGAACAACCAAGAGAAGTTCAGGGCAAGCACAGAGCATCGCTCCAGGTAGTGGAAACAATACAGAGGAAAAATGCACAATTAATAACTGTGGGGAAGAACTGAACGCACAGCGATTCTGCAGGCCAAATGATCTCTATTGTTACACAGAATTTTCTCACTGCCTGGAATCTGCTGTGCTCAGCCCTTTCTCTGCAGCCCCTGGAGAGACCTGAGGTTGGGATGCACGCTGCCACATCTTAAAGGACCAAACCTTGACAAAAACGTTTCAAAGCGACACGAAACATCAGAACTTCAATACTAAAGGAAAAAATAAAAGTGCTAACTAAGTACATTTGGCCTTTCACACCAAGAGCCAAGCAGGACCCGAATTACCAGCCGGAAGAGGAGCTCCTGGCTGCTGCCTGCTCTGGAGGTGCCCTTGACAGCCCCCACTTCATGGAATCTAATTCAGCCCACAGGGCCGCCCCGCTCCAGGCACACAGCCGGGCTGTGCTCAGCGGCGTTCACACTCTGCCTTCAACTCCCCGGGTGCCTGGAATGGGCCCTGTATCTGTAGCACCTTCTGGCAGAACAAAGATAAAATAACCATTTATTTATAAAGCAGGAGTGTGGTTTTGCTAAAGAAAAAAAATAAAGAGAAGCATATTTACGCTGCGTTACTCATATCGAGCAGCAGAGCATGTCAGCGGAATGCAGCTCCTCAGCCCCGCAGATAAGGCTTTAAAGCTGACCTTTGCCAAACACCAGAGAGCTGAAGGAAGGACACTCAGGTCAGCCAGGCTGTGCACTACAGCAATACCTCTCTGTCCTCGCTCCCCAATGGATGGTGGTGGCACGCTGCTGCTGGAGCTCCTTTCATTTGCTTCGGACTGGTTTGCAAGCAGACATTTGGCTCTAAGTAACTGTAGCAGTGTTTGAGGAAAGCAGAAAGAATAGGGATATAACACACACGAGAATCAAGATGTTTTCTCGCATTGCCTGTCTTCTTTTCCAGAAGTTATCCATTTAACCTTTTTATTTTTTAAGTTACAGTTGGACCATCTATTTTTCTGCCAACACATAAGTGCAGAACTCTGCACCTATAAATTATACGAAGAAAAGTGCTGAGCATATGGATTTTTTTAAAAACATGATCCTCCAATTAAATCCTCAAATGAACAGAACCTTCCTCTCGTGGTAGATTAATAAAGACAACATGGGAAAAGCACAGCCACCGAGGACGACTGCTACTTGCCATCCATTTGGTTGACTGTGAAGAAAGTCCTGCTGATAAAGCACAAGCACTACTGAAGTACGAATTGTGCAGGGAATGGTCTCCAGGCTCTCTTCATCTTTGAGATCTATTAACCTCTAGAATGTCAATAAATATTTTCGGGTAAGAAAGCTCACCAGAGCTGCTGAAGATGCTCTGTTCCCCTGTGACAAAGAACACTGCTGCCTTTAATCAGTACCCCTTCAGACACCTCTTTGTGGCACTTCCCTGCGTAACGTGGAATCACTCTGAACATAAACCCTTCACCAAATTTCCATTTTTTCCACAGCTAATAATTTGTTTGCTAGTTTGCATCAAGAGCATACTACATATGATATTTCAAGTTTTTTTTTTGCATGGAAAGAACAGCAAACAGCCCTCCTGCTGCATTCCACAACACACAATTTCTCTTTGCAGCTCAGCTCAATCCAGCTGGAACTCGCCAAGCGCTGCTATCCACGAGGCTCTTGCACTCGTGCCACTGGCAGCAGATATGAACCAGGTTCATGACGACCCACTGACATTTGTTGAACTCCAATTTAGTTCGAGCTCCAAGTTTATCATTTCTCTCTCATAAGCTTCTTCCTGATTCTCTCATTTCACAGATTAAATCTGGTTAGCTTCTACAGGAATGTAAACGCTCCCCATTCAGTAAAACAGAGATGCCTGCGCACGTTTCTTTGGATATGTTACCCTCCAAAGTTTAGAACAATGCGTCCTCTCATCAGACAGGCCCACAACCTTTCAGGGTAATGAAGTGTGATTAAATATCTTTCTTGGTTACAAATTTTAAAGGCACGATTGTAAAGTGGATTACTGCAGAGGAACTCTCACTTTATTTTCACCTTTTCACGTCTTTGCGCTTATACTCCTGTGTAACAATGGGCAGGGCATGCTGAGAGCAAAATGAAAATCCTGGATTGAATCCCTTTAACGTCAATGTAATGTTTGATATGGAGCATACGAAGGAAAAAAAACACAGAAGTAGTTTGTCTTTTCCCTTGTGGATGATGATGTGCAGGCATTACCCCTAGAGCTCAGTCTGACTTTCCCTGAATTAATAGGAACATTTGCTGTCACTTCCCCATAAATGGGTGAGGCTTTTAGTGAAGAGATAAATTGCAAGGAGAAACTGGAAAAAGGTTCCTAAACCAATTTTGTTTAAAGAAAAAAACAACAACAAAAAGCCACAAAAGGAAATCCTCAGCAGCCCAGACAAAACTCCAGCACAGCTCCCTGCCTTCTGTGCTCACACTGCTCTCCTATGGGTTTCTGACAGCTTTGCTTCACCTTAGAAAACCAAACTTGGCAGAAGCAAATGCAAAATGCACGCCTTCTCAAATCATTACAAACATCTCCCAAATGCTGAAGTGCACAGCAGCCTCCACCTCCCACAGTGCAGCTTTGCTTCACACGGCATCGCATTCAAAACGGGGACTCTGAGTTCCAGCAAAGAGCTGCCCTTCCTAAACAAAACCAGTAACTTCATTGCAGGTACCTTCAAAAGACAAAACCACATTTTATAGCATTCCATTAGAGGGCATCCTAGCATGTCCTTTTGTGGTCAGATGCTTTCCTTAATTTATACTCTGCAATAGTTTGTGAACACAGGCAGTCATTCACAGCTTCATCATCCAGACAGGTGGGTTTTCAGCATTACTTCATATGTGCAAGGTGTGAATAAGCTGGACACACAATCATAACATTAATGACAAACTTTTGAACAGCTGAAGAGCAGACTCAAAAACAGTGGGAGATTATAAAAGGTGAGCAAGTTCGATCATATCTATCTTGAAATGAGAGACTCAGGTTCTCAAGGCTTACCACTGACAGAAGCTCCAGTGCCAAACTCAAGGTGGCAACTGCTCAGAGCCAGCAGCAGATTATGGGTTCCAGGGTAGAGGGGACATGCTGTGAAAACAGCCAGTGCTCACATCCTGGTACCTGGTCTTTAAGAACTTTTATAACTATTTGCTAATACAGTCACAGATGTACACAGATCCAGGTTATGACCATCAGTTCCATTATATTAATAAAAATCCCCTAGGTGGTAACATCTACCCACTCAAACATTATCCCTACTGGGCTATGGCTAAGAAGGTCGGTTTCACCTCACACAGTGTGTTCTGTATGTGCACTGAAATCAGTTCAAGGGCTGAAGGCACCAGGGGACCTAAAGGAAATAATACTGGAAAATAAGAAGTCTAGCTTAAGAAATAGGAGTTGACATGATAACATGAAAATTTATCTATGAGACAGATAATTCGGTTACAATAAATTATGATCCTATCTGACTTCAAGTGGAATGTAAAAGTGCTTCTGTCACACAAAATGAAAAATGAACTTCTGACTGCTGAAATGCAAGATTAATGAATCGACTTAAGAGACATGAAACAACTTACGATGATCCTGGACTTGCTGTTGGTGGGGGACCTGGAAAAGTGACAGAAGAAAAACAGTGTGATGAGTTATAGTGAGGTAACAAGCAGGAAGCTTTTCAAAACCTTTTAAAAGATAAAAGTAACAGTCTGTCATGTCAAATGTGGTTAACATAGTTCAACAGGCAAGTCTCCATTTCTCAATAGCAAAGACAAGATTGTATCCTGTAGCAGTGACTGTCTGCAAAATGCTGTAGATAAGGGTAATAAACAGCTGAGGGACTGATTCTGTAATTCGACTGTGTTTGGGGTCACGACAAAAAAGGCTGCAGCAAACCACAGGAGGCTTGTACAAAAGCATGTTCTAACTATAAGTGGGAGAAACAGCATCATTTCCCCCTATCAATCTTCACTGTGTTTCAGGGTATTCATCCTTGGCCTGATTCAGCAGGCGTTGGCTGACAGTGTTTCGCTGGTGGTGCCTTTGGCATTTATGATTTGGCAAATGCTGGACTGGCTGAGCTGACTGCAGTTCAGCAGCACAGAGCAAACTGAAGAGTCAGCTGCAGCAGGTTTAAGAGACATTCATATTAATGAGCATTTGCTTTAGAAATTGAGTTGTAAGATTAAATGTTGCTCCAGTCAGCAAATCACAAAAAATATTCTGTGTTTTCTACAGCAGCGTCTATAAAGGTGCTATTTTTTAGACAAAAATATCCTAAATTTCAGATTCAAACTAAAGGACAATTACTTCATGAGAAAATCCGATGACCAATTTCTTATTAGAATTTAGAGATTCATGATGAAAGTCTCTGGCACACATCAGATACATCACTCCTTCTGTGTCACTGTGAGGACTGCCTGGGTTCCACGCAAGCATCCTCACCTCGGTGAAGCATTTCACCCTGAGAGGAGATGGATAAGATGCACAAAACCCATCTCATGTCTGGAATCATCCCAGTCATAAGACTGTCTATGAAGGCAATTGCCTCAATACAAGCTTTGAAGAAGTGCCTATTTTATCTGAAAGGTATATATGTATATATATATATATTTATCACTAACATAAAACTATATGTATATATATATATATATATATCACTATTGGGTCTACATATAACATTTTCACTCCACCTCCAATCTTCTCCAAGCTGCAAGCTGAATTTCTCACTTATTGGAAGAAGAGGATGTCACTTGGGCACTTGAGAAAATCACAGTTTTTATCATCTGGGTCTGAATCCACCCAGTTGGTGCATCAATGAACACTGCTGCTCAGCAGTCTCTGTTTATGCCCTGGTTCTATTGGATTTCTGTATACTAAAGACCACCACTACAGCTGGCATGATGGGCATCTGAGCTGAGCAGTGAGCAGTGCTGCTGGCTGATACCATTCCATAGTAGAGTCATATCACAGAATGGCCTGGGTTGCAAAGGAGCACAACGCTCATCTAGTGCCAACTCCCCGCTGTGTGCAGGTCGCCAACCAGCAGGCCAAGCTGCCCAGAGCCACATCCAGCCTGGCCTTGAATGCTTCCAGAGTCACTTCTCTTGTTTTCAGTGGTTAAAACAACACAGGAGCTGGACTTGAAGATCCCATGGATCCCTTCCAATCTGCAACATCCTATGACTCTAAGAACTTTGTCCAGAGTTACCTGCGCTATTTTCCTAGGTAACAATTCTAACAGCTTCACAGGAGGTAACGTACCGAATTTGACAAACAGCACACCGGTCGTAGAAACAGTCTTCCTGCCGTTGGTGGCGACGCACTGGAAGTAGCCGGTGTCGGTGGTGTCCAGGTTCCTGATCCTCAGCCGGGAGCCGTAGCTGGTGGCACGGAAGGAGATGCGCCGGGGCTCCTGGACCACGGGAGCGTCGTTCTTCAGCCAGCGCACGGTGGGCGGAGGATTGCCGGACACCTTACAGTGCAGCTCTGCGGTCTGGCCAAGAGTGGTGGTGATGTTGTTCATCGGCTCGTCGAGCGTCAAGAAGTAATCTGTCGTGGAAAATGAAACAAGGTGAGTTGCAAAAATCCAGCTCGGGAAGCGTTATTTGGAACAGCTCTCGTTCCTATCTTTGAAAGGGAAATGAAGGAAGTGGACATTGGGTTTAGCCAAAAATTCTCCTCGTTAATTTGAGTTTCAGGGCCACTGTGGGTTCCACATAGTTTTGCACAGTGAAAAAAGGAACAAATTTTGCTATTTTCACTACACTGTAGTCAAAGAATCACAGAATGGCCTTCACTGGAAAGAACCTCTAGGATGATGAATCTCCAACCCATCGCCACAGGTGGGGCCACCAACCTCCACATTTCATAGCAGCCCAGGCTGTCCAGGACCCCATGCAACCTGAACACTTCCAGGGATGGACGAGGCCCCCACAGCCTCTCTGGGCAGCTGTTCCAGCACCTCACCGCTCTCATAGCAAAGAACTTCCTCCTGACATCCAGCCTAAATCTTCTGTCCCTCAATTTAAAACCATTTTCCTTTGTCCTGCAGTTATCTACCCTTTCAAAGTGTTCCTTCCCCTCCTGTATGTAGGCCCCTTCAGGTACTGAAGGCTGCAATGAGGTCACTCCACAGCCTTCTTTCCTCCATGCTGAACAAGCCCAGCTCCCTCAGCCTGTCTTCATACAGGAGGTGCTGCAGCCCCCTGATCATCTTTGTGGCTCCTCTCTGGACCCTCTCCAACAGCTCCCTGTCTTTATTGCACAGGGGGCTCCAGACCTGGACACAGTACTCACAGTAGTCACACAGTCATACTGTCATTCTCAAAAGCTTCTTTTCCTTTGTACATCCATAGATTTTCTCCACTTTCTCAGCATCCTCCTATATTTGGCTTCATTCAACACAGCAGAAAGATGTAACACCTCCTCTATTTAATTTTTTTTTTCTTTTTGCTAACCAGTAAATGCAAAAATAACCATTGTAAATTCAGCCACTTATTTTATTGTTTGTGCCTCACACATCTGCCCTGCTCATGTCTGCATGCACACAATGTACCGATGTATGAAATCAGCCACTCAGCAACGAGGACCTCAGAGCCATTTTTAATGGAGCTGCAAAACCACAGACAGGAACCACGTTGTGAATGGTTCTGCAAGCACTGAGAGCACAGATGAAGGAATGGGGATCGTATCTACGAGATGAAGGCTTTCTTCTCAGTCAGTGTTTCCTCTGGGGAGGGCACTGAAGTTTAATCTGAAATAGGTCTCATGATAGTTGCAAGCATAAGATCAAGAATTCTTTCATTTTGTTAAGACAGAGAATGTTAAATCACGATTTCACAAAATTAATCTCTTCTAATCCATTCGTGAGCATTGCCTTCTCCTGTCAAGTGCTATTTCGTTCTGCATCGGTCAGGAAGAAGGCCATTTCTAGTTAACTGTACTCAGCATTTAATTAAATCCTTTAAAGGCAGAGAGCGAGATGGATTGGGTTAGGGGAATGGAATACGCAGGCTTTCATCTCGGTGTCACAGGTTCAAACCCAACGTGGTCATTAGTGGGCAGAGCCCATTAGCACTGCTGGCTGTCTCTGCAGGGCAGCCGGGCAGTGGGAAACCCAGGGCCCTGCTGCTGTGCTCTGCCAGCAGGACTGGGAGGTCGATGAGGCCCATCAGTGAGTGAACTTGTGCTGCTGGAGCGGCCACGGTCGGCTGCATCCACTGTTACCTGCAGCAGCAAGCCTGCCTGAAATTAGGAGAAAGATCTCCAGCACCCAATAAAAACAGCTTGGCTAAGTACTTTACTCAACTAATCCACTTCCCTAATTACTTATTTTAATCATGTCTTCACCGGCTACTCCCTTCATTATGTCTTGTGAGTATCGGTATCTCTCCCCTTTGTATTTAATCTCCTTAGTGCGTGAGTTCTTACCCTGGATTTGCAGCACATCCCTGTTCTCCTGAGGTGCTGTTAGGGTAAGCACTATGCACAAAGGAGCTGCCCACACAGCAATCTTCCACTGATCAAGTTTGTTAACACACAGATATGAAACTGCAAAATCATACTGCTACCTGTGCTCCTGTGGACCTGGTTAGTTAAAGTTGTGTTTGGTGTCAAAGCAGCTGAGTGGTGAAGGCAGACAACGGGCTCAGCATCCCACCTGGGTGCCGGGCTGCTCCTTACCTCTCCAGAGCCACTTTTACATGACTAAAAGCATTTCTGACTTGAACCTTCATAACCTCATTGGGAAGTACCATCTAAATCAACACACGTATTCTTGGGCTCTCCCCACAGTCTGTGCTTAACAAAGTCACAGTAATCATACGGAAGTGGATAACCACACTTAATGATCCAATGCATTTCTGCATCACAGTCCTTGACATAACTCCTGAATGTGTTTCAAAGATGGAAGTTCAGACATCTTCAGTGCCATACAGACAGAAAACAGGATGGCCTCAGTCCTGTGATGGTCTTGCTGACAACCAACAGTAAATAAAATATTTAAAGGTCCTGGAGTGTACAGAAGAAGCAAATAAAGGAATAATAATGATGGATAGGATACCAAAAGAAGGACTTCAAAGTACCAGTGCCAACAGTGAGGCAATGGGGAAGTAGGGCCATCACAGCAAGAGCTATGGGGCAGCATCTCTATGGGTACCCACAGAAGCAGCCTCTGGTGCCAGGACTTCCCACTCTTCCCCACGCTTTCTTTGCCTTCTCTGCAAACTGTTACATGAACTCTACAACAAATAGCATTCTCAAAATTCAGCTTAGCTTAGTTCTTCAATCCACGCAGTTTGCATCCAAATCTTACATCAGCTCAGGCAGCAGACTGTAAAATACCTGACATGAGATGTGAGCAGGGAAAGTTCCAGGCAGCTGGAATCTTGAAGTTTCTCATGGGTGAAGCATTTCTGTTACTGACAGTGAGCTGACGGTCCAACAGTGCTTCCAAACCATGCCAGGTTTGGGAACCTGAGGAGTATGGGACTAAGAGAACGGATGAGTGCCACCCACTGCTGCCCTCACTTAGCACAGGGCAGCCGAAGGGAAGCCCAATTCTACTTCCAGCCCTCAAATTTAACCCTTACCTACCAAAGCTCATCAAATCCCCAAAGCTACCACCACCACCCTCTCCCTAACGACAACCAACAACAAAACAACTCCTCAGGTTTCTGTCCACCCTCCCTCTGGTGCCATCAGCTCTAACGCCATCTAATTTGGGACAAAAAAGGCCAAGAAAAACAGGAGTAGATCCTCCTTCTGGGCTTCAGCAGGGGGTGAGCAGGGCTGCCGCCCCGAGCTGACTCTCTCTGCCCAAAAGAATAATTTGTTAGAAACATGATGGCCCTTACCAAAAGTTAACGACACTCAAGTGGCAGCAGCCATTGGAAAGTGTGAGTGCAATGCTGGCTCCGAGCAGCGCTGGGTGAATCACCCCGGCTGGGATTTTAGAAGAGCCGAAGGGAAGCAGACACCCAAAGCCAATCAAAGCTCACACGGGATTTGTGCAACTAAGTCCTTTTAAAAACAGCCTTAAACCTTTTGGCTCGGTTTCTCCAGCTATAAAGTGAGGATAATAATCCCTCTTACATCATGGGGAGGCTGCTATGTACATTAATGAGATAATGCTCGTAAAGCACTTTGAAGGTGAAAAGTGCTACGCTGGGATAAGCGCTGTTGTTACATTTGCAGTTCAATCTCAGGATTTCAAGAACAACAACAGCTGGTCCGTATTTTAGAGCTGCACTCTATGAGAACGTTTCAGACGCATTTTAATTTACGGAAGTACAGGAGAATAGCCTGAATAAGTTCTAAATAAAATGTAGCCCACCTATAATTTAATAATAGGCAATTGACTTTTTTTTTTTAATTTGTAAAAACAATTTACTGCTGGGTCTACCCCCTGAATGCCAAGTTTCAGCCCACAGACGTTTTTTTTTTTTAATGGCTGAGTTATAAACCCTTGAAAAATGCTGACAGCCCTTTTACTATAGCAGCACTAGCGGGTGCCCTATAATGAACTTTTAAATGACTTGAGATAATATCTGGAAAGCCAAGCCTGAAATATATTTCTGGTTTTGAGCCGTTGCCAATGCAAACACAACACATCATAAGTCATCTTCATGATTCTAAGCGCATAAATTGGAGACACTGCATATAAAATCCAAATATTAGGTATCCTTCGTGGCCAAACTCTGCGCTGGTTTGATGTTACAGAACAGCAACAGCTGTGCGAGGACGAAATGTAGTGCATTGCGTGTCTCCAAAGAAGAGAAGTGTGTGTATTTCCACAGCTATGTCTTGACATTGTTAAATAGGAGCCTGCTCAGCCGTAATAAATTCTGAAGTATTCCACCACTTTTAAGTAGAACCCAGGTGGCTTTCAAAATAAAAGCTCATCCTCTCCGGCCAAGGAATGTTAATCTCCTCTGCGACCACATGGTTGCTCTATCTTAAATTACCAAAGACACCTCTCAGAGCAGTAAAAGCCTCCCTGTCCATAGGAGGGTTCTGCTGCACCGTGCGTGCTCCGCGTTTCTGGTTTCACTAGGTGTTTAAGGCACGGTGGGGATGCAGGATTAGTCCCTGAACCATTCATTTCATGAGAAGAACGATTGTTTCACTTATCCTCCTCTTTGAGCCCTTCTAATCTTTCAAAACGTTCAGGAAGAAGCTCACATCAAAACCCTCGTTCAAGTCACTGCAGGCACCAGGGCAGCTTAAACCCAGGTGCGGCGGAGCACTGGGCACTGCAGTAGGCATGGTGGAGATGGGTTGTCAGGTGGACTTGCTGTAGTAGAGATCTTTTCCAACCTTAATGTTCTACGATTTCCATTTCCTCTGAGCTTGGGATGAGCCACATTAGCCCAGACGACGCTATATGAGGATGCAGCCCACATTCCCATTTATCAGCACTGCCATCCGCTCCGGCAGTGGGAATGTTCCATACAGAATTGCTCTCAAGGGAGAAAGTCTACAACTCCGAGCCCACCCAGAACTTGCAGGATGGGTTTTTCTGTTTGCTTCACGTGTTCAGCTGAGCAGGG